GGAGCCAAAATTATACAATGGAAGAAAGGAAGCAAATGTTGCTGGCATAATTGGATGTCAATGTGTAGAAGAATGAAAATTGATCCATATCTATTACCATGCACAAAACTCAAGTCCAAATGGATTAAAGACCTTAATATTATCTGACCACACTGAACCTGATAGAAGAGAAAGTGGGAAGTAGACTGCAACACATGAGCACAGGAGACCACTTCCTACATACAACCCCAGAGGCACAGACAACAAGAGCAACAATGAATAAATGGAACCTCCAGAACCTGAGAAGCTTCTGGAAAGCAAAGAATATTGTCATTAAGACAAAAAGGCATCCTACTGAATGGGAGAAGATCTTCACCAACCCCGCATCAGACAAAGGTCTAATCTCCAAAATATATAAAGAACTCAAGAAACTGGACATGAAAACTCTGATTAACCCAATTAAAAAGTGGGGTACTGAACAGAAAAGAGAATTCTCATAAAACAAAGTTCAAATGGCCAAAGGACACTTAAGGTCATGTTCAACCTCCTTAGTGATCAGGGAAATGCAAATCAAAACAACTTTGAGATACCATCTTACACATGTCAGAATGGCTAAAATCAAAAACACCACCGATAGCCTATGCTGGAGAGGATGTAGAGTAAGGGGAACGCTCATCCATTGCTGGTAGGAATGCAAACTTGTGCAATCACTTTGGAAATCAGTGTGGCAATTTCTCAGGAAACCGGAACCTACCTCAGGATCCAGCAATACTACTCTTGGGAATATACCCCAGAGAAACCCAATAATACTACAAAGCATTTGTTCAACTATAATTATAGCAGAATTATTTGTAATCACCAGAACATATAAACAACCTAGATGCCCCTCAATGGAAGAATGGATGAAGAAAGTATGGAATATATACATATTAGAGTACTACTCAACAGTAAAAAACAATGACTTCTTGAATTTTGCATGCAAATGGAGGGAAATAGAAAACACTATCCTGAGTGAGGTAAGCCAGACCCAAAAAGAGGAACATGGATGTACTCGCTCATATTTGGTTTCTAGCCATAAATAAAGGACATTGAGCCTATAATTCATGATCCTAGAGAAGCTAAATAAGAAGGTGAACCCAAAGAAAAACATATAGTCATCCTCATGGATATTAACCTTCATCAGGTGATGAAAGGAGACAGAAACAGAGTCCCAAATTGGAGCACCGGACTACAACCCCAAGGTTCAAATCAGGAGCAGAAGGAGAAAGAGCACAAGCAAGAAACTCAGGACCGTGAGGGGTACACCCACACACTGAGACAATGGGGATGTTCTTTCGGGAAATCACCAAGGCCAGCTGGACTGGGTCTGAAAAAGCATGGGATAAAACCCAACTGGCTGACCACAGTAGACAATGAGGACTGCTGAGAAGTCAAGAACAATGGCAATGGGTTTTGATCCTACTGCATGTACTGGCTTTGTGGGAGCCTAGGCTGTTTGGATGTTCACCTTCCTAGACCTGGAAGGAGGTGATAGGTCCTTGGACTTCCCACAGGGCAGGGAACCTGGTCTGCTCTTCAGGCTGATGAGAGAGGGGGAGTTCATTGGGTGAGGGGGAGGGATATGGGAGACGGTGGTGGGGAAGAGAGAGAAATCTTTAATAAATAAATAGAAAGAAAGAAAGAAAAAGAACACCCTCCAGATGAGCTAACACCAGTAACCCACCATGACCCAGAAATGATCTGACTAGTGCTACCCTTCTCAAGCAAATAAGCTGTGGGACTTGTGTGAACAAATAGAAGGCAACCTATCAAGCATCCTAGTGGGCCCTTGATTTGTATAATCACACTGAAACTCTCTAAATGTTTGTTTTAAATAAATAAGTAAAAAATTAAAAAAAGGCCAAGGCAGTTTCTTTATTCGACCAATGAACGTAACACATAGACAGAAGGACTTCCTACTCCATTGTTCCATAACCAGGCTGGCTAGAAGAAATTCAGCAGCCTCTGCCTCCTGAGTGATGATGAGATTAAAGACATTCACCATCCTGTACAACTGTGCCCTGTCCTGTTAACATCAAGAGAAATGTCCTAGAACTTTCCTTCAAAATTTCCTGAGCACAAGGCTCCTCCTGAGAATGCCCATCCTCTGGATTCACACTACCTACAACATTAGTCCAGGTATTCCCAGGACAAATCTGAAACCCTGTCTAAGCCCGTCCTACAGAAGAAGAAATTAGAAGTCATGAACAGCACAGTGATTGGTGTGATGTTCCCTGCACACTACCTGTGCGGAACATAACAGGGAAGTTCTTATTTGGTTCTTTGTCCTTGCTTGCTGTAGGTCTAGACATGAAATTACAGTTCTTCCAGTGATCTTCAGGGGATGTTAGAAGGGCATATTCTCAACGCTCTGAGAATTTTTTCCCTGAGCAGACTGACTTCCATCTCTGTCCCTGCTAACCTTGAACTCCCTCCCTAGACCATTTTCTGACCTACTGTATCCTTCCTTTGTCTGAGAACACCTTTATGCATGGGTACTGTGAATGTCTCCTCCCTCCTGTCCTCTCTCATAGAGGAAGACTTGATTACAACCAAGGGGTCATCTAGGAAAGAGCAAAGGTGACCCAGGAAAATCAGAGAGGACGCGTGCAAATCCGACACATAATGGAAAAATGTTGTCCTGAAACATAGAATGAAGGATCCCATAGTCCCTTCAAAGACACACAAGTCACCTCATCCCCAACACTGAGCACATGAAATTCCTCACACAACTGTCCCTGGGCCTCTCTTCTAGATCATTAATGTGATTGGTGACATTAGTGATAAAGGATTGATCTTCATCCCTAGTCATCACTCAGCCTGCCTCTTTCCAGCCCTCAGAGACATTTCTGTCAACTACTTGCAAGAATTAAGTAAATACCATCTTCCCAGAGCATTGAGAACACAGGGTAGGCTGCGTGCTCAGCTTGGTCTCTGTATCATATGGACACATAGACAAGATGGAAGCTCCCTCTTTGGTGCTGACAGACCCAAGGCAAGGACACAGCATGTGTCAGCCCTAAGATGAGTCATTGTTCTCTGAGGGCGTAGGGATGCTTATCAGCCTTGTTGCTCAATATGTTGCTTGGAGAAGAAGCATAAAGGGAAGTTGAGTGACATGCAGGGCAACACTGAGAGTGGACGGGATTGAGCATTGATTTGGACTCAAACCCCACCACTCATATCCCATTGGATCCTGAAACAGTCTCCTGTCTGAGAAGAATCTCAGAGCAGAAGGAGGAAGAACAGCACAGCCTGAGTTCTGTGTTGGAGCTGAGATTTTTCTCCTCAGAGGGAGAACAACGAGTGAGAAGACTGATGGAGTTCTCTGTGCTTCTCTACAAGAGGTGTACCCTCTGGGAGGGGCTTCTGCTCACAGGTAATTGTACCTACTCTCTGACTCTGTTGGAAGGGGAACTTAGAAGCAGGCTGGAGTCTCCTAAAGAGTCCAAGATGTTGAGAGGAGACTCAAGGTTACTGTGTGCACTCACGGAGCAGAAGGTACAGTGAGGGACAGAGGCTCACCATCCAGAAGCTCTCAGAGGATAGGAGGTGATTATGGCAAGAGAAAAGCCTGAAGCACTTCATATTCACAGTGAATTTCATTGGCTGTAATGTTCTGAAGACAGATGTTCCCACTGTGACAGTATGGCCCTCCAAAAAGAAATCAAACAGGGGAGGGCTAGTGAAATGTTTCAGAGTGTGAAGATATGGTAACCTGAAACTAATCCTCTGCTCCCACACAGTAGACAGAGAGAACAGGTTCCAGCAGGTTCTATCTTCCATCCACATAGGAGCTCTGGTTAGAACTCACATATATACACCCTGGAACATGTGCCTTCCCACAGATTTTGGGCATACATCTTCAGATGTACACTAGAAGACAGCAGCCTGCTCAAATGCACACACATATTTAAATTAGTAAATCTAAAATCATTTATTTCACACTAAAATATAAGTACTGTCATAAGTTCCAAACTTAGGAACTATGAAGAGAAATCCATGGGGGCACATTCCTCTTTCCTTCCTTCCATTTTTCCTTTATTTGTGTCTGAATCTCTTCCAGGAACTGAACCTTCCAAAAATTCAGAGTAATATTGTCTTTATAAGTCCCTAGTTCTGAACTGGCAGTTCTGCTTCAGCCCTTAATCCCAGCACTCGTGGGGCAGAAGCAGGTGATCTCTGTGAGTTGAAAGCCAGCCTGGTCTACATAGCAAGATCCAGGAAAGTCAAAGCTACACAGATAAACCCTGTTTCAAAAAACCAAAAATAAAAAATAAAAAAGTCCTGGTTCTCATCCTGATGGCAGCATATCCAATGAGAAACCCTGGGTTGACTAGAATCACTAAGGGATCAGAGAAAAAAAAATGAGAAAGTGTGGAGTCTCCAGAGGAGGAGTTCAGAGAGGCATTGCTCCTCACACCAGATAATCTACGTAAGGCGGTATAGGACACTGAGGGGGAACTAGGAAGACACCTGAGCGGAGAATTCCTGAGAAGGTAAATGACACACTCTGACACTCTAAATCAAGGAAAGTCATGGTGCTGATGTATACCAAGGGGGGGTGGGCACAGTCCTACTTACACACCAAAATGAGAGATGATCATACCTCTTTAATATTGGTGCTTTTTCTCAATTCCCTTCTAGCCTCCATTTTAACCTCCTGGCACCTGTCTTCCACTGCCTGTGTGACCATTGAATTACTGCCAACTCCAGTGGCTGAAGGAGATGACGTCCTTTTCCTTGTCCACAATCTGCCAAAGGATATTATAGATGTTACCTGGTTCAAAGGGCGGGGAAAAGAGAAACAACAAATTGCAGTGTATGTACTGCACAAAAATTTAAGTATGCCAGGTCCTATACACAGCGGGAGAGAGATAATATATCACAATGGATCCCTGCTTCTTGAAAAGGTCACCCAGAAGGATGCAGGATTCTATTCCCTACGAACCTATAGTAGAGGAAGAAAATTTATATCAACAATGCCCATATACCTCCACGTACATGGTAAGTGATTCATTGAGAACTCTGTGAGCTAGGTGAGGTTCATTTCACTGGACACAAACAGGAGAGTGGCCTCTGCTTACCTTCCTTCCCTGTGCATTGTATACCCATGGTGGGGTTTGAACATTTAAAGTGGGAAACATATGGTGGAGAATAATGACAAGAGATCAGGATCCTTCATTTGACTTCACTTTGACACAGGTGGATGTATGGTAGGTAACTCAGCCAAAGATACAGCCTCTGTCTAGAGTCTAGGGATTCTCACAGGTTTGTTTCCTTGAGAAAGACTTTGAGAGAATTAGCATTGTACCTGGTGGAGGGAAACATAGAATCCTCAGAAATGTGAGCACCAGGACACCCTGACTCAAGACTTTTGTCCCAACTCAACTCTAGGTATCCACGAGGAACATTTTCTAAGTGTAGGATTTTGGCTTTCACATGGCAGGAAAGAGTGCCTCCTGGTAGATGAAAACTTGTGAAGTGAGGGATTAGAGAGTGCATTGCCCTGAGAGCCTTGGCTGGGTTTCATCCCTTGGCCATCTTCTTCAGAGAGTCAGTGGGGAAACATAGCTCAACAGGTGTCCAGGCCATTAGCTAACTGTCCCATTGGGCATGTGAGATTTCACATGAAGGTTGTGGTCCCCAAGAAGAGGGACTCAGGACACAGATTCTTCCTACCAGGGCCTGTCCTCTAGGTCCAACTAGGGGAATTCTCTCCTTCAGGCAAATGGCTACATGCTACACTGATCTGACAGCTTTGCAGACTTGAGCTGTAGTTCCCCTGGTGATCACCGGGGATGTCATCAGGATACACAATGAACTGGCAGAAAAATATTTGCCTAAACCAGGAACTAGCCTAGGAACCTGGTTTCACCCCTGTTCTAACAGACCAGAAAATCATTGTCTCAACATTCTCAGAGCTACTGGCTATTTAATGTGTCTACTACACTGCCGGGAGACCATGTTCTCTCTTCCCACGTCATGTGTTTCCTTTGGAAAACCCATGGTATCCAAGGGCAATCAACTAGATAGAGGTTCAAGGCCTCTCAGAAAGACCATCGATCACATGAGCAATCCCATTACACAGTTCAGCAAACAGAGGAAGTGGGAGAATCATGTCGAAAATCATCCACAGGTTGAAGGATCTAGCAGCATTTTTCCCAGAATCACCTCTTCCCACACACCAAAGATGTGAGACTCATTACAAATGACACATCCTATACCTTTGACCTCGGTCAGAACCTAGTGTGATAGTCAGTCTAGGGAGAATAGATTCATTTTTTCTGCACACATCACACACCTGGTCCCTTTGTACCTCAAGGGTAGTTTTATCACCTTCCTGCCGAGAGGAAATTCCAGGTTTCCAGAGAATTGAAAACGAGGCAGATTGGATGCCCAGCTGGGTTTCTTTGTCACACAGTTATGCAGATTTTCCATTTTTCAAGCTGCCAGAGCCTAGACCAGCACACAGCAGAGTGCAGTTCCTGAGTCAGCTGCTATTATCTCTCCTCACAGGGATGGTCAGTAGCCTTGACTCTCACTCTGTTCTAGAGGAGAGAATGGGAAAGGAACGTGGGGCAGCACTGAAACCACAAGGGCAGTGCTTGAAAACACATCATCCACCCTCAGCCCATAAGACTCTGGGAGGAGCTCCTTTCTGGAAGAGACTCAGCTGAGAAGGGGGAAGAACAGCAGAGCTTGGGAGCTGTGGTGGAGCAGAAGTTCCTCATAGAGACAGATAGATGACTGAGACAATGGTGGGCCTCTCTGTACTCCTCTGAAAAAGGTCACCACATGCCAGGGCTTCTTCTCACAGATGAGACCAGTGTGTGCGAGGAGGGACTGACATACTGTGGAGTCTCCTGAGTGGCACAAGGACATGAGAGGAGCCTCGGTATTTGTAGGTCAGAAGATGCAGAGTGAGGGAGAGGCTGAGCATTAAGATATCCTCATAGAATATTAAACAGTAAGAGTGGGGGAGACATTATTCTTCCATCAAGTTCATATTCATGAGGTCTGATGCTCTCAACTTGATAGTATGAATAAAAATTCAAGCTGGTGTGGATCACAACATGATCCAATATAAACAGGCATTTGCTTCATTGTCTGACAAACTCAGACAAATGAACAGAAGAAAGCCAAGAAAACTTGTGCTTCTTATGATGATGTCCCAGTTTGAGTGGACTTGAAGAAAAAAAAGCTGAAAGATGAATTCTATTGTTGGCTACAGACCCAAGAGGAACAAATCAGCAACAAAGCCAGAGAGTGAAGACACATGGTCTGTAGGGGAAGAGGTTGGGCATGCATCGCCACAACACAAATCCACTGTAAGTGTGAGCAGTCAGCTGTAAGCTTGGTTGGACAGGGAGAAACTCACCCAGAAACATAGGCTGAGCAAGGGACACAACTGCTCATGACACAAAGCCTTACCTTAGTCAAATACAAAACTTCGAGTTTCGATGGATCTCTCTCTTCCTTCTAGCTTTCGTTTGGAAGTGCGGACGCCTTGCAAACTTTGGCCAGACCACTATTGAATCAGTGCCACCCAGCATTGCTGAAGGGGAAAGTGTTCTTCTACTCGTTCACAATCCACCAGAGAATATTTTAGGCTTTGTCTGGTTCAAGAGAAGGGCTGATTTCAAGAATATTGTGGCCACCCGGTTTATACAAGATATGAAAGCAACTGTGTGGGGACCTGCATACAGTGGCAGAGAGACATTGCACAGTGATGGATCCCTGCTGCTTCACGGTGTCACTCGGAAAGACTGTGGATTGTACATTCTAAAAATTCTGAGAACAGATAAGGGAAGTGAATACACACAAGTGCAACTCAAGCTGGAAAGTAAGTGATTCTCTGTGATTGTTCAGTGCTGGGTGGGGCTTAGACACACAGGACTGCCGTGGCTGGCCTAGCATCCCTTCTGGGTCCCCATGTTGAGGTTTGAGCACTTAGTGAAGGACACACTGGTAGAGCCAAATGGCCATAGATCAGCTTCCGTCATCTGACTCCACCTGCATCAAGGAAGACCTTGATGGAAAGTAACTCAGCCTAAGATGTCAGCCTCAGCCCACTCTCTTGGAGCTCTAGACTAGGGAGCCCTGAGTACTGTCATCTTTTCAACACTGGAGCGAAGTCACCCAGGAGAACATTTTTCTATTGTTCTTCTCTTTATTCTTTCAAAACTGATAGGGAACAATGGTGTTAGAATCCCATGTCAAGCTGTGGTATTTATTAGCTTACAACTGAGATTGTCATAACTAAAATCCAGGACCTGGTACAGAGACCACAATGGAGTGCTGTCTATTGGCTTGCTCTACTTGCTTGCTCAGTCAGCTCTCTTATGTCACCCAGGAGTCCCAGCCCAGGGCTTAAACTGACTGAATTGGTCTAAATTCTTACATCAGCCCCAGTTTAAAAACTGTACTAAAGTTATGCCCAAAGGCCAATTTGGTGGTGGCATTTTCAACTGAGTTCTTTCTTGAAAAATGAATGTAGCTGGTGTCAAGCTGAAATAAAAAAAAATCAGTCTAGTGGCCAAGCCTTTAGTGAATGGAGCATGCCTTGAAGATCAGACTGCTCCAAGCCCCTATACAGTCCCAGACCTAAGGGCTGTATGTCACAACAGGAATTGCTTCGATAAGGTGAAGTCAGGGGTCGAATGTGCTTAAAAAAAACAGAAGAAAAAACCTAGAAAGTGAAATTTCCAGGCCTGTTGAGTTCAGGGGAGGTATCATCTTAAATGTCAGTGTTCATGAGTCTGTACAGTATCTGACTAAGCGCAGTGAGGGAGCAGCCATGTAGACACCCAAAGAGACTATTCCACAGAGGACATGACACCTTCAGGGGCACTGTTGGAAAGAAGGAGGTCATGATTCAGCCCTTTTTTAAGAGGAAGAGAAACACACATACCTGGAACTCTAGGTTGAGTGATGAATCCATCTTCTCAGGATGGAGTTCACCATCTTTTCACAAAGCACAATGATCCCCATGTGATGGTATTTTTTCTCTTTTCTCTCCCAGCTTCCCATTCTCAGTTCTGCAACCCTTTCGCTTCTTCCCAACTCATGATCCAACCGGTGCCTCGATATGCAACTGAAGGGGAAGATGTAGTTCTTCAAGTTTATAATCTTCCAAAAGATGTGAAAGCCGTTTTCTGGCACAAGGCAACATACAGAACTCCGGTCTTGAAAATTGTAAAATACACCAGAGGCACAAAATCCATCTCCTGGGGGCCTGAACAAAGAATTAAAAAAACAGGATACAATAATGGATCTCTGATACTCAGGGATCTCACTGAGAAAGATGCAGGAATCTACACACTAACAGTTTTAAAAAAAGATTTCAAAATTGAAAGACTATACGTGGAAATTTATGTAAAGAGTAAGTGACTCTCTATGGTCTCCAACTGCTTGAACTGTCTGATCCCACTTCATACACTAACCTGTCAGGATTGGGTTGTGCGTGCCCTCTCCTCAACTGGATGTGTCCCCCCACTGGGGTTTGGGTCTCTACTGCAGGACACATGGGGTAGAAAAACTGTAATAGATCTGAACCCCACACTTGCCTTTCCATACAGAAAGGAGGAACTGCGCTGTGTAAACTCAGCCCCAGGATGTCAACTGTAGCTCTCACCATGCACATGTCCTCAGAAAGAGGGGGTCAGGCAGTTCCTGAATAGTTAAACCATGGGGTCCTCACAGAAGCTGTCAGCCTGGACTCCAAATCTTTGCCTCTTGCTAAACAGTAGGTGAGAGTGGAAAGTTTATGTCACTGTTTTGGTCAGATTTCCTGTTACAATCAACAGGAACAAGGCTTTACTGACTGTCCCATAGAGTGTAGAATCAGCTGTTTACTGCCATGAGAGCTGCAGTTGGGTAGGTCACCTGTGCAACTCCTTCTGAGATTCAGTGGGAAGGTGTCTGGGCCATTAGCCTATTACTCTGATGGGCTGATGAGACTTCACACGAAGGTCAAGGCACAAAGGGAAGAAACTGAGGAGGCAGCTGCTCCAGATCCCTCACCCTGAGGGGGTCCAACCTAGGGACTTCTCTTCTGCAAGAAAACAGTAGCAGATGCTGCTAATGTGAGCAGCTCCCTGACCCCAAGTTCAGATCATTGCTCATAACTAAGTTCAACTCATGAACACAGCAATGACCAGCCACTATGTGTTCTATTACAGGGAAACTGAGGCACAGAAAACAGTGCCTAAATCTGGGAAAAACAGTTCCTGAGTGGCAAATCCAAACCACAAGTTATGTCTATAGTCACAGCTCCAAATTCTCCCCGCTGGATGTTTTAGAAAGTGTGAACTAAAGAGGGTCTGGTTTACTCTGTGGACTACTGTCATTTGGTATTCTCCTCTGTTTCTTCACAGAGAATGTGACACAGCCCTTTGTGCGAATCACTGACACCACAGTCTCTGGAGGTACATCTGTGATCTTCACCTGCATTTCACCTGACACTGATGTCTCCATCCGTTGGATCTTCAATAAGAAGAATCTTCAGCTCACAGAGAGGATGACTGAGTCTCCTACAAAGTGTGGACTCAAAATAGATCCTGTCAGGAGTGAGGATGCTGGAGAGTATCAGTGTAAGGTTTCCAACCAAGTCAGTTCAAAGACCAGTCTCCCAGTTTCCTGGGGGATTAAATGAGTGACCGCTGCTCTCATCCCACACCAGAGATTAGATATTTCTTTATCAATGGGGTACAAAATGGAGACATACTAGGTGTTGAAAATGATTAGTTACTACTCAGATACAGCCAGTATGCTGACTCATACCTATAATACTGGGATACACAAGAGTACAGAAAAAGACCAGGAATAAAAGTGATGTTGTCTTAAAAGGAAAATAAAGACAGCAATATGATAAACAAAAATCCAAAGACTTTAAGAACTTTTGTTACGGGTCAAATATATTGTGATCCCTCAGAACTCATAGAAACTAATTTCTAGAGCCCTCAAACTTTGGATGCTTGGAGTCTGCTTAGAAATTGGTGCATTGTTTTCATTGAGAAAAACACCTTCTTGTATGCTCACATACATTTTTTTTAACTCACCTAAATCCAGTGCTGCCTGCACACCATTTATCCATGTGAAGTGAGAAAGAGTAAAGACAGGAGAATGGACTGTCCATGATTTACTGTGGACATCGCTGGTTTCTAAATGCACAGATGTAGCATGCTTCACCTAAGGGCAGATCACACTCTTTTCACCCTGAAAGTGGCATTCACAGTGGGACCTTGCACCTGAGTCTTCTTTCTTGTTGATATGTATTTATTTCCTTTTATATTCTCTCATATTACATCACCAACACAGTACCCTTCTCTGCACCTCTCCCTAGACCTCATTTCACCTCTACCTCGGAGCCACACATCTTTGCCTTTAAATAACGAGCAGGCTTCCAGAGATATCCACAGAACATTGCATAGCAAGTTATATTAAACTTGCCACCATCCCTCATATCAGAGCAGGGAATGGCAATCCTGTAGGAAGAAAGGGGTCCAAGGGCATGCAAAAGAGTCAATGGTGTCTTCCTATTCTATGTTTAAGAGTTCCAGAGGAATAGCCATCTGCATTACCATAACTTATATTCTAAGGCCCTAGCTCAAATCCATGTAGGGTCAAAGATTATCACCTCATTCTCTGTGATTCTTTATAAACCATGCTTAATTGTTTTTGTGTTTCATGTGTTCACGGTGTCCTTGACTCATCTGATTCCGTCAATCCTTCTTTCCTCTATTTTATGGGATTCCCCAGGAGCTGCCAAGTGTTTGGCAGTAAGTCTATGCATTTGTTCCCATATGTTGCTGGATGATGCCTCACTGATGTATTTTAGGCTGAAAACTGATCTAGTAGTATAACATAATTTCATTAGTAATCATTTCCTTGAAATGTTTTCCGAGTCATGTTTGATTCTACCCTGAATTTCTTATCTGTCCAGTCTCGGGTTCCTGGACATCCAAGGCAGAATCGGGTCAGGGCTTCCTCTCAAAGCATGAATTTTAATTTGGACCAGTTATTTGTAGACCAATCCCACAAAATCTGTTCCCCCATTGCCCCAGTACATGTTTCATGAAGAATAGATTGTAGGTCAACTATTTTGTGGCTGGATTGTTGCCCCAGTCCTACTGCTACAGGTTTTCTGTAGTTGTCGAAGATGGCTGGTTCAGGTTACCTATGCCTCACTACTAGGATTCTTAGGGTGACTCTTGTAGATTCCAGAGAGATTCAACTGTAGTACACTTCCAAATCACTCCCAAAATGCCCCACCATTCCAATCCTGTGGGGTTTGATTGTGATTTAAGCTTTAGTAATGTTTATTTTACAAATGTGCATACCCTTGTATTTGGTAGATTTTAGAATTGAGACTTCATCTTAATGGATTTTATTCTTCATGGATTCAGATGAAACGTCCTTCATCTCTTTTGATTAATTTTAGTTTGAAGTCTATTTTGGCAGCTATTAGAATAGCTACACCAGCTTATTTCTAATGTCCATTTGATTGGAAATTCTTTTCCAGACCTGCTGGTACCCTCTGCATACTGTTGAACTCACTATACAATCACTGTTGCACACACAACTGAAGGTCAGAATATTCTTTCTTAGTTTTTCAAGACACAGTTTCTCTGTGCAGCCTTGTGATGTGGGAAGGCCTTCTGTATATGTGTTGCTTTAATTGGTTAATAAAGAAGCTGTTTTCAGCCAACGGCTTAACAGAATATAGCCAGGCTAGAAGAGAGAGAGAGAGAGAAACAGAGACAGAGACAGAGAGACAGAGAGAGAGTAGGCAGAGTCAGTGGAATACCAAATGTGTTGCTTTTATTGGTTAATAGATAAAGAAACTGCTTTGAGCCTAAAGAAGGGCAGAACAGAGTTAGGCTGGGAAAACTAAACTAACTGCTTCAAAAAGAAGGCAGAGTCAGAGAGATGCCACATAGCTGGCCTGTAGGCCACAAGCCTTGTAGTAAAATATAAAATAATTAAAATGGGTTAATTCTAGATCTAACAACTAGCTAGCAATATGCTTAAGTAATTGGCCAAGCAGTGATTTAAACAATATAGTTTCTGAGTGATTGTTTTGGGAGTCTGGGCAGCTAGGAACAAACAAGCAGCCTCCTACAACAGCCTTGGATGTCCTGGGCATGACACTATTACTGAGGCTATTACTCAAACTCATAGAGACCCACCTGCCTCTGCCTCCTGATTGCTTGGATTAAAGGCATGTGACACCACTTTTCACTGTTACATTTGTTATTAATGTGCCAGGGAATGACAGTAGAAATAAAAAAGAAAAAAGCCTTTTAACTTTTACCATTTTAAAGAAACTTTTACTGATGAAAAGTGGTAACCGTGGTTGATAGTCATGCACCCTCAGAGCTATAAAGCTATCACTAAAGATTACTGATTCATGTACACGGTGGGAGAGAGACAATGTGTACCAATGGATCTTTGCTATTTTGAACAACATCCAGATAGATACATGATTTTTAAAATGTTTTATTTCATTTTATTTTATTTCTTGCCCACATAAGGGTTTGAACAGTCAATTCAGAACACACCCAGTTGATGTACACTATGTACACTATCATATCATCTGCAAATAACAAAAGTTTGACTTCTTTCTTTCCAATTCAAACCCACTTGATCCCCTTATGTTGTGTTATTGCTATTGCTAGAACTTCAAGCACTATGTTGAAGAGATATGGAGAGAGTGGACAGCCTTGCCTTGTTCCTGATTTTACTGGAATGGCTATGAGTTTCTCTCCATTTAATTTGAAGTTAGCTGTCGGCTTGCTGTATATTGCTTTTATTATATTTTGGTATGAACCTTGTATCCCTGATCTCTCCAAGACCTTTATCCTAAAGGGGTGTTGAATTTTGTCAAATGCTTTCTCAGCATCTAATGAAATGATCATGAGGGGTTTTTTTTCGTTCAGTTTATTTATATGATGGATTACATTGATAGATTTTCGTATGTTGAACCAGCCCTGCATCACTGGGATGAAGCCTACTTGATCATAACGGATAATTTTTTGTTGTGTTCTTGGATTCTGTTTGCCAGTATTTTATTGAGAATTTTCGCATCGATGGTCAGGAGTGAGACTGACCTGTAATTCTCTTTCTTGGTTGAGTCTTTGTGTTGTTTTGGTATCAGGGTAACTGTAGCTTCATAAAAAGAGTTTGGCAATGACTCTTCTGATTCTATTTTGTGAAATACATTAAGGAGTATAGGTATTAGCTCTTCTTGGAAGTTCTGGTAGAATTCTGCATTGAAATCATCTTGTCCTAGGCTTCTTTTTTGGTAAGGAGGTTTTTGATGACAGCTTCTAATTCCTCATGACATAAAGGTATATTTAAATTGTTCACCTGGTCTTGATTTAGTTTTAGTATATGGTATTTATCAAAAAATGTCCATTTCTTTCACACTTTCCAATTTTGTGGCATACAGGCTTTTGTAGTAAGATCTAATGATACTCCAAATTTCCTCTGTGTCTGTGGTTATGTCCCCCTTTTCATTTCTGATCTTGTGAATTTGGCGTTCTCTCTCTGCCATTTGATTAGTTTGGATAGGGGTTTGTCAATCTTCTTGATTTTTTCCAAGAACCAGCTTTTTGTTTCATTGATTGTTTGGATTGTTTTCTGTGTTTCTATTTTGTTGATTTCAGCCCTCAGTTTGATTATTTCCAGTCTTCTACTCCTCCTGGGTTAGTCTGATTCTTTTTTTCGAGACCTTCAGGTGTGCTGTTAAGTCTCTAATGTGAGCTTCCTTTGTTTTCTTTATGTGGGCACTTAGTACTATGTACTTTCTTTCCTCTTAGCACTGCTTTCATAGTGTCCCATAGGTTTGGGTGTGTTGTTCTTTATTTTAATTAAATTCAAGGAAGACTTTAATTTCTTTCTTAATTTCTTCCTTAACCCAGGGGTGGTTCAGTAGTTGACTGTTCAATTTCCATGAGTTTGTAGGCTTTCTGTTGAATTCTAACTTTGTTCCATGGTGATCTGATAGTACACAGGTGGTTACTACAATTTCTTTGTATCTATGGATGTTTGCTTTGTTGCCAAATATGTGATCAATTTTTTTTTATTTTTTAAATTTATTTATTTATTAAGGATTTCTGCCTCGTCCCCACAACCGCTTCCCATTTCCCTCCCCCTCCCCCGATCAAGTCCCCCTCCCTCATCTGCTCGAAGAGCAATCAGGGTTCCCTGACCTGTGGGAAGCCCAAGGACTGCCCACCTCTATCCAGGTCTCGTAAGGTGAGCATTCAAACTGCCTAGGCTCCCACAAAGCCAGTACGTGCAGTAGGATCAAAAACCCACTGCAATTGTTCTTGAATTCTCAGTATTCCTCATTGTCCGCTATGTTCAGCTAGTCCGGATTTATCCCATGCTTTTTCAGACCTAGGCCAGCTGGCCTTGGTGAGATCCCAATAGAACATCCCCATTGTCTTAGTGTGTGGGTGAACCCCTCGTGGTCCTGAGTTCCTTGCTCGTGCTCCGTCTCCTTCTGCTCCTGATTTGGACCTTGAGATTTCTGTCCAGTGCTCCCGTGTGGGTCTCTGTCTCTGTCTCCTTTCATCGCCTGATGAAGGTTAATATTCCTGAGGATGCCTATGTGTTTGTCTTTGGATTCACCTTATTTAGCTTCTCTAGGAACATGAATTATAGGCTCAATGTCCTTTATTTATGGCTAGAAACCAAATATGAGTGAGTACATCCCATGTTCCTCTTTTTGGGTCTGGCTTACCTCACTCAGGATAGTGTTTTCTATTTCCATCCATTTGTATGCAAACTTCAAGAAGTCCTTGTTTTTTACTGCTGAGTAATACTCTAATATGTATATATTCCATACTTTCTTCATCCATTCTTCCGTTGAAGGGCATCTGAGAAGCTTCTGTAAAGCAAAGGACACTGTCACTAAGACAAAAAGACAACCCACTGACTGGGAGAAGATCTTCACCAACCCTGCAACTGACAAAGGTTTGATCTCCAAAATATATAAAGAACTCAAGAAACTAGACCGTAAAAGGCTGATCAACCCAATTATAAAATGGGGCACTGATCTGAACAGAGAATTCTCAACAGAAGAACTTCAAATGGCCAAAAGACACTTAAGGTCATGCTCAACTTCCTTAGCGATCAGGGAAATGCAAATCAAGACAACATTAAGATACCACCTTACACCTGTCAGAATGGCTAAAATAAAAAACACCAATGATAGCCTTTGCTGGAGAGGTTGTGGAGAAAGGGGTACACTCACGCATTGCTGGTGGGAATGCAAACTTGTGCAACCACTCTGGAAAGCAGTGTTTCGGTTTCTCAGGAAATTCGGGATCAACCTACCCCTGGATCCAGCAATACCACTCTTGGGAATATACCCAAGAGAGGCCCTATCATACAACAAAAGTATATGCTCAGCTATGTTCATGGCAGCATTGTTTGTAATAGCCAGAACCTGGAAACAACCTATGTGATCAATTTTTGAGAAGGTTCCCTGAGATGCTCAGAAGAGGTATATTCTTTTTTGTTTGGGTGGAATGTTCTATAGATGTTTGTTAAGTTCTTTTGGTTCATTACATCTCTTAGTTTTCCTATTTCTCTGTTGAGTTTCTGTCTGGTTCACCTTTCCATTGGTGAGAGAGGATTATTGAAATCTCCTACTATTAGAGTGTGGGGTTTGATGTATGCTTTGAGTTCTATTAATGTTTTCTGACATATGTAGGTGCTTTTATATTAGGGGTATAGATATTCAGGACTGAGACTTCCTCCTGATCAATTGTTCCTGTTATGAGAATAAAGTGTCCTGCTCTAGCTCTTCTGATTGATTTTAGTTTGAAATCAGTCTTGTTAGATATTAGTATAGCCACACCCGCTTGTTTCTTTGGTCCAATTGATTGGAAAACCTTTTCGCAACCCTTTACTCTGAGGTAGTGTCTGTCTTTGAGTTTGAGGTGTGTTTCTTGTAAACAGCAGAATATCAGATCCTGTTTTCATATCCATTCTCTTAATCTGTGCCTTTTTATAGGTGAATTGAGTCCATTGATATTAAGTGATATTAATGACCAGTGGTTGTTAACTCCGGTTATCTTTTTTTGGTGGAGATATTTGTCTGTTTCCCTTCTTTGAGTTGTGCTGGTGGAGGATTGTCAGATGTCTGTGTTATTATGAGTGTTTTGGGTTTCCTTAGTTTGTGGTTTTCTTTCTAGTATTTTCTTTAAGGCTGGGTTTGTGGCTATGTATTGTTTGAATATATTTTTGTCCTGGAATATCTTACTTTCTCCATCAAGGGTATATTCAAGCTTTGCTGGGTATAGTAGTCTGGGCTTGCATCCATGTTCTCTTCGTGTCTGCAGCACATCTATCCAAGACCTTCTGGCTTTCATGGTTTCCATTGAGAAGTCAGGTGTAATTCTCATAGGTTTCCCTTTATATGTTACTTGACCTTATTTCCTTTGCAGCTCTTAATATCTGTTCTTTATTCAGTATGTTTTGTGTTTTGATTATTGTATGGTGAGGGCATGTTTTTCTTTGATCCAGTCTATTTGGTGCTCTGTACGCTTCTTGTACCTTCATAGGAATATCCTTCTTTAGGTTGGGAAAGTTTTCTTCTATAATTTTGTTGAATATATTTTCTGGGCCTTTGAGGTGTAATTCTTCTCCTTCTTCTACCCCTGTAATTCTTAGGTTTGGTCTTTTCATGGTGTCCCTGATTTCCTGGATGTTTTGTGTTAAGAATTTATTGGATTTGTTATTTTCTTTAATCAATGAGTTTATATCCTCTATAGTATCTTCAGCGTCTGAGATTCTTTCTTCTATCTCTTGTATTCTGTTGCTAAAACTTGTCTCTGTAGTCCCTGTTTGTTTACCCAGATTCTCCATATTCAGCGTTCCCACGATTTGTGTTTTCTTCATTATCTCCATTTCATTTTTCAAGTCTTGAACTGTTTCCATTACCTTTTTGATTGCTTTTTCTTGGTTTTCTTAGGTATCTTTGAGAGATTTGTTCATTTCTTCTACTTTTTGTTTGTCTTCTCCGTTTCTTTAAAGCAGTTTTTCACATCCTGTTTAAGGTCCTCTATTATTTTTATAATGTTATGTTTAAAGTCGATTTCTTCTACTTCTTCTGGAATAGGGTGTTCAAGTCTTCTTTTTGCGTGATTCCTGGATTCTGGTGTTGTCATGTTGCCTTTCAAGTTTTTGGGGGAATTCTTGCATTGGTGCCTGCCCATCTCTTCCTTCAGATATAGCCAGAGGAGTCTCGGCATCTCCATCCAATTTTTGCTGTGACTGACTCTCTGGGTGGATCTCCTCAGTGCAGGAGCAGGAACTATTCCTGGGCCGAGGACCTTACAGACAATAGAGCAGTCTTTGGGGAGGCAGGATCATGTGGAAGAAAGAAGCCCCTGCAGCAGTAGCTGGAGGGGCAAGGTGCTCCCTTCCCTGACCGTCTGCCCTGGGATGGCACACACTCACCAGTCTGGATAGATCTCCTCAGCACAGAAACCGGGACTCCTGGAAGTCCAAGGACCCCCGCAGACAAAAGGGCAAAATTGGAGGGGGGCTGGGTCATGTGGAACAAAGAAGCCCCTGCAGCAGAAGCTGGAGGTACCCTGCACTCCCTTCTGGGAACCTTCTGGCCTGCAGGCAGACACTCACCCCTCTGGGTAAAAAGCCTCAGTGCAGGAGCAGGAACTGTTCCTGGGCCAAAGACTTCCCAGATAATAGGGCATGATTGAGGGAAACAGGGTCATGTGGAACAAAGAAGTTCCTGCAGCAAGAACTGGAGAGGAGTACGCCCAGGGATGGCACACACTCACCCATCTGGATGGAACTCCTCAGCACAAGAACAGGGACTCCTGGAAGTCCAAGGACCCCATAGACAAAAGGGCTAATTTGGAGTGGGGGGCAGGTTGATGTGTAACAAAGAAGCTCCTGCAGCAGAAGCTGGAGGTGCCCTGCACTCCCTTCCGGGAAACTTCTGGCCATGCAGGCACACACTCACCCCTCTGGGTAGGTCATTATGTGTTTTCTTGCGTGTCATAATGGCTAATATTGAAGGTAAAACACATATCTTTATTTGTCCCTTCAAGTAGATACTGT